AACCTGAATGTTCTTTATTTTTACGTATGCATCCTTAACTTGTGCTTTTTCTCGTCTGTTAGAATTAAATGTTATATTTGGTCGATATCTACTAAATCTGGGTCTACTTTATCTACTGGGTTAAGAGACCTGGGACACTATAGGCACCCAGACCACTTTAGCTCATTGAAGTGGCCTGGGTGCATAGTGTCACTTTAACAGATGATGCTACAGCGTATAAAGCTTGTAAAACAAGACTTCATTACACAGCTGTGGTAAGGCCGATAAGGATTAGTATGCAGCCACATTAACTATGCTTAACTAAATTACTGGAGTGTCTTGGTTGAATATATATCCTAAAGCGCTACCTTAGAAACCATACAAAACAAACACACATGAATTGAATTTAGTCCTAACAAAAAATAATGCAACTTTTTTTAAATGTAATTTTTCAGCATACGTTTATAAACTTATAATTTATCAGAATAGTATACGCTTCACCATAGGTATAATATCATATATTCGAAATATGGGATAATTAAAAAACAGTGTACACAATTATCTGAAGAAGAAACTTGTGGCTCTTAAAACTGTTACAGTCGCTGTCATGCCAAGGGTGCATAATTAATTGTTGAACAATAGAATATTACCATTTAATATAATTTGTGTAGTGCATATATGAATTGGCCACTTGGTAGAAGTCAGATGACAGAAGGGGTAATGTAAATTGTATAGGAGTGTGAAAGGGGGCAGATGGTTTACAACATGAATTGATCCTTTGATTAATCAAAGGCTCTTCAAGGTGTGAAATTCTACACTTGAGATACCTGGATGTCTAGTTCCAATGTAAACTAACTGACTTCAACCATATGGCCTGTACCTCTTAATTGAGGAGTTAATTTCTTTGACATGTTAATGATCATTAGCCTTCAAGAAAACCATTGAGTTCCAGTATCATATCCAAAAGAAACATTAATACTTACCCACAGAATAATAATAAAGCCTAATTTTTATTATATTTTGAATGGGTCTTCTAATCAAGCCTAAACACGAGTTGCGTTACTTATGCCGGGCAGGATTGTGAAGTCCGCTATATTGGGTCACAAGTAAGAAGTGTGACATATCTATGGAATGAAAAAAATGGTAACACATTCATAGTTGCAATCATTATTTCTGTGGCAAGTACAAAAGAGGAGATAGAAGAAAAAGTTTCTATTGGGATTGATTTGGTCTGGAGCACAAGGGGGTGTCACCTATTAGGACTTCTGTTATTTTATCCCTTTTGTTTTTATCTGTTGTTGGTGTAACTACTTTATTTCCGGTCTAGTGCAGACAAATAGTGATCTTTAACCCATTCACCACCACAACTACGTCACGCACACTCTTGAAGTAGGGTGACAGTCGCCATCAAATAATTTTAGAGCATGTTCTATAGCTTTGTGGAGTGAACGGAAATAAAATAAAACCTCCCTGGCTGTCTGAATGACAGCTGGGAAGGTTTCAGCAAAGTGTTATAAAAGTGCTGATTTATATGGAAAACCGCACTTTTATAAACTGTCACATATATGACAGACTCAAAACACAGCTAAAGTGCATTATGTGTCCGGAGAGTTCCTTTCAGCTCAGCCCTTTGTTACATTTTGACTGATAAGTAGTCCCTACATTTCCTTGTGTAGTTTATGAGTGAAGGAAAAGAATAAATAGAGATTCAGATAAAGGGAGCTATATAGAAGCAAAATAGATGAAGCTAATTTTTGGAGACAGAACCGCTTATAAACATTGGATTGGGAACCACTGTCAAAGAGAACACTACTGATGTAACCATTTTTTATTTCCTAGAAAAGCCAAATGCCCATCCAGCTTTGAAATTCTCTACAATTCTGTCAAGAATAGGCTATAAAAAAAAATATGTATATTTAAAGGACTCTAGTAAGCACAGCAACTGCTTCATCTCATTGAAGTGGTTATAGTGTCTGGAGTCTTCTGGCACCATCCTTCTATTCAGCGTTAAACTATTTTTAATGTTTTAATGCTAATTTAGAGTTCCCAGTAGCCCATCCCTTCTGTGCTGATTGGGTGATGAGGAAGTATTGGCCTGAGCTGTAGTTGACGGCTGTGATTGGCTGAGAACTTCAGCTGACCTCTTTCAACCTATCACAGAGCCCATTGCTGGTATGAATTGGTATGGCTAGAAAGAAGTGTGTAATCTCTGCCTCAGTCATACTTCGAGTAGGGGCCTGGCATTGGATGGCCCGGTACACGTATTTATGTTAAACTGATCTAAAATGATTTTACACTAAATGTAGGGTCAGTGTCAGTGATTCCAGACACAAAACCCTATTCAATAAGATGGAACGGTTATTGTCTACAGTGTCCCTTTAAGTATAATAAAATCGAGATAAAAGATGACTGTTCAAACTTACGGGTAATATTTGTATTTGTAGCAATTTCTCAGACTTGCAGCAAACATACATTTATATAAAAAATGTATAAGGGTATTAATTCGAAGTCGATTGAACTCTAAATGAGCTTATATGGACCTGGGTTAGTCTCAGGATGGAGTTTCATAGTCATATGCAATATCAATACACTTTCTAATGTTTATTTAATTAAGGCTATTTTTAACTGCTTATTCATCCCTAAAATAAGTATTCAAGCTGTGTGAATCCGTTTTGTGACGTAGTATGTAAAAGGCATTAGGCTATATAAGGATTAAAGCAGATTTAGCTAATTTCTCCTTTTAATTCTCTCTGACAGCAGCGAGACTTAGCAGACAAAAATCAGACAGACATTCACCGAAACCCAATTCTAGGTATAAGCATAATTCACAATTCTTTGACTGAGTCTAAACGCATTCTCCACTGGGATAGTTTTAGTTGGCTTCAGTGCAGTAAGTTTAGCACTTTAATAGATTGGTTACCTGTGAAACGGAGTGTAATAAAGCTGACGCATGTTCCTAGTTAATATAAATTATAGCCATTAAAGCATTAAACTAATCTGAATCACCGCAAGATACATAATTTTTTTCCCCTCTCATGCAAAGATAAGCAGATCAAAAGAGAAAGCCTAATATACCTATCCATTGCACAATGAACAAAACTGAAAAATAAAGGTCCATGATACTTTGTGTTTATTTAATGCAAATTATGTTATTGTAGTCTACAGGACACTGTACCCCAGGGTGGCTAAAGAGTTAGACCCCCATGCTACCATCATTATGTTTTTGCCAGACCAGATTTAATATCTTAGCAACATAATCACAATAGTAGATTTTAGAACAAATCTGTCTTGTCCAATGTACCAGCACCTATTATGGACCAATGATGGACTCTGTCTCCATAACAAGCTGTTCTTTAAGGATCATATTCCAAAACAGAAAGAACCACTCATTAAAACACAGGGCAGCAGCGAGTTTCCAAAGCTAAATAAGCAGAACATTCATTGCTGACATCAGGTCTATAGGGACCAGGCTGTAATGACTCCAAAAAGGCACCATCTGGTCCGTAAAAAGGTTACATTTACAGCATATAAACTTTAAAGTATACACACAAATAACCAATGGTTAGACTTAATTTAAAAAAAATAAAATCCAACCACTATCAAATACGTTATAAGAAGAATAAAAAAAATTGAATTTAAAAAAAATCTAACCATTATAAAAATACGTTAGAAGAAGAAATACAATTTCGAATTTTAAGACAATATTTCATTTTCAGTAGTATAATTGCCTAGGGCTAGTGCAACATTATTAGTTATTTTGTTTAAGTTAATAATAGTATTATTACATCTTCTGAAGTGCTATACTATGGGTATATATATATAAAAAATAAAAATTAAGGGCAAACAGTGACATGTAACTAAAAATGCACCTGTAGCCTAGATACCAGAATCCCATACAGAATACACAGAACCCGTTTCAATAACATGAAAAATTTATCTTTTTTTCAAACTATGCATCCAATAAGAGTTATACAATAAGGGACGATGAAAGATCCTTACCAAGCACCAAGCTCCAAGGATAATTGTCCCAGTGCGGACATGACAGCACAGACAACAGCTGTTTGAGTAAAATCGAGCCCATGGTGAATGCATCTTCATGTCTTTGGATTTCTGCTAAATTAACTCTGTGATAAGAATTTTAATCTTGATCGGAGCCGTAATTGAAATGCCTTTGGATTGTATCTTCCGTGGAGCAGAGGTGCAGGTTCTATTAATGCATGAGAAAAAAAATTAAATCCAGATAGGATATTTTGTAACGTTATAAGAGAATAGTCAAGTATACAATAGAGAGACAGTATCAGCAGTCATAACTGCTGCATTTCTCTACACAACACTAAGGCTACCACTGAGTACATTACATGAGATTATCAGGAGATAAGAAGTGAGCACAATAAGCTGTATACTAATACCCTCTAGTGGTCAGGAGGCTGCATTGTGCTACATGACCCTTTAGAAACAACACATTTTTTCTTTTTTGTTTGGGGTGGTTAAGGGGGGTTTAATCTTGGATTTTTACAAAAAATGTGTATATGCAGATTTACATTGCATCCAATACATTCATATTAAACAGATAGACGGAACTATAGCTTAAAATATTCAAAAATTTCATTAAATAGAACCATATTATTATCGCCATTTATATAGCGTCAACAGATTCCGTAGCGCTTTACAATATCATGAGAGGGAGGATTTAACTATAAATAGGACAATTACAAAAAAACTTACAGAAACGGTAGGTTGAAGAGGGCCCTGCTCAAACAAGCTTACAGTCTATAGGAGGTGGGGTATAAGACACATTAAGACAGGAAATAGCAATCAAATAAGGTGGGAGTGAAGCAGAGCTCGAGGAGAGAATAGAGTGCTGCCCTTTAGGAGAGAGCATGAGACAGGTGTGTGAGGTAGAGGTTAGTCTGGGAGGCCATAAGCTTTCCAAAAGAGATGGGTTTTATGGCACTTCTTAAACGATTGAAGACTAGGGGAGAGTCTGATGGCGGTAGGCAGGCTATTCCATAGGGAGGAAGCCGCTCACGAGAAGTCCTGCAAGAGTGTGTTGGCCGTACGGGTGCGAGCAGCGGACAGAAGACTGTTAGGGCAGAGCGGAGAGACCGAGAAGGGGCATACCTTTGGATCTGTGAGGAGATATAAGATGGGCTAAGATTATTCAGTGCTTTATAGGTATGGATTAGCACTTTGAATTAACTCCTATACTATATATGAAGCCAATGTAAGGACTGACAGAGGGGTGAGGTGTGAGAGAACCAACAAGAGAGGAAAATCAGTCTGACGGCAGCATTCATTACAGACTGCAGAGGGGTAATACGGCTTTTGGGAAGACCAGTCAGGAGAGGGTTACAGTAATCCATGCAGGAAATGACTAGAGCATGGACAAGCTCCTTGGTAGCATCTTGTGTAAGAAAGGGGCGGATGCGGGCTATGTTTTTAAGATGAAATCTTGAGGATTTGGCAACAAATTGGATGTGAGGCTCAAAGGTGAGGTCAGTGTCAAGTATGATGCCAAGACAGCGTGCTTGCAAGGATGGACTTATGTGGATACCACTAACTTGAAGGTAGAGCAAAAGAGGAGGATCAGTATGAGGAGGGGGAAAGACAAGGAGCTCAGTTTTAGAGAGATTGAGTTTCAGAAAGCGGGAGGACTTCCTGTCAGAGATGGAAGAAAGGCAAGCAGTGACAAGTTGCAGGATGGCAGGGGAGAGGTCTGGGGAGGAGAGATATTTCTGGGTGTCATCAGCGTACCAGGTGGCAGTGGAATCCAAAAGAGGTAATAAGTTTGCCAAGAGAGGCAGTATAAAGAGAAAATAGAAGGGGATCAAGGACAGAGCCTTGGGGGACTCCAACCGAGACAGGACGAGGGGATGAGGTATCATTAGAAAAGGAGACACTGAATGAGCGTTGGGAGAGATAAGAGGAAAACCATGAGAGACAGAGTCACAGAGACCGAGTGATTGAAGAGTTTGAAGAAGGAGAGCATGATCAACAGTGTCAAAGGCAGCAGAGAGGTCAAGAAGAATTAGCATGGAGTAGTGGTCTTTGGATTTAGCTGAGATTAGGTCATTAGCAACTTTGATAAGAGCAGTCTCAGTAGAGTTGAGAGCAGGGCCGGACATGCCCACAGGGATACCGGGAAATTTCCTGGTGGGCCGCAGCACTTGGGGCCGGGGAGAGACTGGAGAGCTATATGCAGGGAGGGAGCTTTCAGGCACATAGGCTCTGCCCGTGGGCGCAAGCTCCGCCCCCTCCCCCCAGTAGCAACGTGGGGACCACAGGGCAGGAAGAGGCGAGGAAATGGAGTCCTCACCTCCCCGGGCTTCCACAGTGCCA